TGAGAGAAGCAGGGTGGGCAGAGAGGCCTTTGGGAGGGGGGCAGACAGCATCTGACAGTCAGTCAGCTGCCCCCTGAACCCCAGCCGACCCTGAACTGTGCAGCCCTGGGCAGGGTCCTCCACTGGGCGGGCCTCAGGGAGGTGCAGGCCCCGCCAGCATCTCAGATGCAGAGCCCCCTGCCCGCGCACATTTTCCGGGGTTCGTGGTGCTCACCAGATGCTAACAGAAGTCTGCGCGCCCTCCCCCATGAAGACACACGCCCTGAGACAGAAACGAACTAGCAAGGCCAGCCTGCAATGGCGAGGCCCCATCCGCAGGAGCCACCGAGAGGAAAGGTCCCGGCCGGCCGGCAGCGTCACGGCGGCTGTGACAGCAGAGAGCGAATGGGCAAGAGGGAGAGAAACAGCAGCGCCCCGGATCCCAGGCACAGGGCGCAGAGCACTCCCACGGTCGGGCTGTGTCACCTGCACTGCAGCTGCTCTGCCTCATCCTCTGGACCCTGGATTGTTTGTTGCAACAGCGTCCCAGGGGCACAGCCACCAGAGTTACAGTCCGTCCTCCCAGATGCGATGCTATCACTGTACCACCTAACGCCCCTCAGTGGCTCCCTATTGCCTCCTCCTGAAGGCCAAGCCCTGCACAGCATCCTGGGCCTCCGCACCCACCTGGTCCCACCTCTCGGCCTGCTTGCCGACACCCTGCAGGCCTTGTGTTTCTGCTCCAGCAACAGAATCGCTTCTGACTGCCCTCCTTACCCGGGGCCTTGCCTACTCACTCCCACCTACCCGCACTTCATCTCGTGTTAATTGCCCAGGCATTTCTACCGCAGGCCCCTATCATAGCTTCCTCTCCCTCTGCCACATTTCTAATTACCCAACCTGAGGTCAACACTGGCCTGGAAACAGCTCTCTGCTGCCCCCTGCTGGCTATTGCACCCTTGGCCTATGTGTTGGGTGCAAGCTTTCTTTTTTCTTTTGTTAATCTATTTTTATTTTTTTAATAAAAAATATTTTTATTGATTTCAGAGAGGAAGGGAGAGGGAAAGATAGAAACATCAATGATGAGAGAGAATCATTGATCGGCTGCCTCCTGCACACCCTCTACTGGGGATTGAGCCCACAACCGGGCATGTGCCCTTGACCAGTATCGAACCCCAGACCCTTCAGTCTGCAGGCCGACGCTCTAACCACTTAGCACCCGGCTAGGATGGTGCACCCTTTCTGTAAAGGTCAACTAGTAAACATTTTAGGTTCCCTGCCATGTAGGGTCTCTGTTCCAAGTACTTAACTGCCCTGTGACCGCAGTCAGACAATATGAAAGAGTGGTGTGGCTGGAATCTGACAAAACTGGACATTGAAACTGAGTCTCACATACTTCCTATGTCACTAATATTCTTTTGACTTGTTGACCATTTAAAAATGTGAAACCCATTTTCAGCTTAGCTCCCAGGACACAGAGCAGGCAGAGGGCCCGGTTGGGCTGACGGGTCCTAGTGTGCCGTGTCCCTGCTTCCCCAGGTGTGGGCCGGGGGTCTCCCCAGCTCCAGGGGGCGCTCCCTGGCAATGCAGAGCTCCAGGCCCCGCCCTGCAGAATCGGAACCTGGTGCTGAATTTCAGAAACCTGCCCAGGAGCTCTGTCCGATTTGCCATTTATTCTCAGTTTCTTTCTCTTCTATTCCTCAGATGTTTCTTACACACCATTTCCTTAAAAAGCACTAAATGTTCACTTTTTGTTAAAGGAGAGCGCACAGCCATGGCTCACAGCCGGCGCCTTCCCACAGCGCGAGCATCAGTGAGAGGTGGGCAGTCCTGTTGGCAGAAAGTCTCTCTCATCTGCGCCTGCTGACGCCTGCAACCCGGGCCTGTGCCCTGACTGGGAATCGAACCGCGACCTCCTGGTTCATAGGTCGATGCTCAACCACTGAGCCACACCAGTGGGGCAAGATTGTCATTTTTCTGCTTTAAAGCTCAAATATTAAGCAATAAAAACATCATGGCTGTAAAATATATGCATTTATAGCACGGAGCCAGAAGAGGGCACTATCTCTATATGCTTAGCAAGTACCAAGGGAATTAGAATAAATGTCGTTCCAGGTTTCTGGGTACCAGTGATCTAGAAAATGACCATCATACCTGCGCATTAGCTTTGCTACTTTCCCGGTGGCTCTCAAACTTGAAGTGCGTGAAAACAATCACTTGGGAACTTGGGAAATACACACTCTTGGGCCCCACCTGGTCCCACCGAGTCAGGAACTTTGAGGTGAAAATAGTTCAGAGCTGATCCCGGAGCCAGGGTCCCAGAAGCCCCAGGAAACACCTTCTGTGCAGATTGCCAGGTGCCTGGCGGCGGAGGGGTGGAGGGGCAGAGGGGACAGTACCAGGGTGCAGGCCAGCACCTACGTCCCCACCTTTTCACGCACCACAGAGAAACCACGACGACCACAGCATGTGAGGAACTGTTTAAAGACAACACTAAATGTTGAATTATAAAACCTTAGAGGGGAAAAACAGTCTACAATCAGAAAAGAAATGAAGGAAAGGAGAATGTTTAAATGCTTTATGTACCATCTCCCTGAAAAATAAGGAATTGGGGCTCAGTTTTCCTGTTTCCGAATCTTTTTAATGGTTGGAGAATTAGCATAACGAGCTGCCACAATTCACCTCGATTCTTCTTCTTTGGATTATTGCTTATACCTTGCCTACTTTCAAGGACATTTTTGGAGCCATTATTGTAAATGGCACATATCCAATTAGGTCATTAAAATAGAGGTAAGTAAAAGCGTACGGCATGATGATGGAATTACTCCAACTGGACTTTAAATTTGGCTCTAGGTTTCTGGGTGACAAAAAAGAAAAGAACTCCGACTTTGCAGTTTTAGGTGCCTTCTTGGTGCTAATTCTGACAATGGAAGCTACCACACAGAACATCACATTTTATCTCCAGACAACCTATCCTTACTTTTCCATTCACGTACATTTGCTCACAGCTCCTACCCTCCAAGAACTGAAAACCTGGTTAGGACAGAGGACCAAGAGTTGCAGGCGATGAGGGAAGCATTAGTGTGGTGTCCACGGGACCGAGACCCCGGGAACTCAGAGCTCAGCTGTGCCGATGACTGGCCCTGGGTTATAAGCCAGCGGGAAAGGGGCTACTGGGAAACACTACTGGGAACACTGGTGATGGGCAGAAAAAATTAGATCAGGCCCCTGATGCCTGGTGAAGACTTAAATGTAAATGAGCTCATAACAGTTAGGAGAGAAGCGTGGCTACCGTATCAATGACAGGATCAGGAAGAAGTCTCTACACATAAAAGCAAAGAAAGAACTTCCACAGGAAAAGGTGGAATGGAACAAAAACAAGAAAAACTTCTGCATGTCAACAAAGGTGCGCGGTACAGCATACAGGACTGAAAGGGGCTGAGAGCCCCAACATCTACCGAGTCAAAGCAGCGGAAATGGCCCATCGCAATAATTAGGTGATTCCAACTGAAATAACAGGGGGGCACTGGGGGCCACCGGAGTGGTTTCACTGTGTTGACAGAGTTGTTTGCTTTTAAGGGTAATTCATGCTGGTGGCAGAGGTGCATGCGTTCTGAGGTGGTGTTCCTAACACTTTCTTTCCTTCTGTTTCTAGAACTCTCCAGAGATGTGCTGAAGACCGCTCTCCAGGGGTGTACACTGCACTTTACTATTACTTTAATGATATGACAAACTCCCAAAAATGTGACAGCAGAACTGGAAATTCCCTAGCTATCCAACAACAGTGATGATGATATAATGTGGAGAGATATCAGAATACGTCTGTATGGATAATTTGATCCCAATTATATAGATATATTAGTTTGGCTCATATAAAATTTCCTCTATTCATCATTTTTACCTAAAAATGTACATACATACTCACCAATGTAGATGCATATATTCACCAAAGAACAGAAATGATATCTACCAACATGTCAACAATAATTCTCAGGGTGAAGTCACTGTATTTTCAATGTTACTGTTTATGCTTGCCTCCATTTTTCCATTTTTAAAATGAATCCATATTACCTTTACATTCAGAACAAAAATCACAAATGTAATTTGAAATCGTGTCTCAAGAGACAGGACTTAAGAGGGCGGCTCACGCGCCCTGCCAGGGGGTGCCCGGGCACACACTGCCCAGAGGGGAACTTGGAAAACATCAAAGCCTTTCGACCAGTCATTCTCCTAAGAAGCCACCGACGGACACAGACAGAGATGCCGACGTCCACACGGAGTCATCTGTGACGTGAAAGTCCGAGCACGGCCGCTCGCTGACCAGAGGGGCCCGGCTGAACGCGTGGGAGCGCATCCCGGCCGTCAACATACGTTGGGAGAAGCCTTGGTAGCACGGGGACATGCTTATGCTAAACTAAATTATAAAGCGAGACAGAGACCTGCAGAGAGTCACACGTGGTGATTCTTGCCTCCGCCCTGCAGAGCTGGCCTGTGCCACCTTGGTTTGGGGCAGCAATGACGGGGCGAGCTCTGAAGCCAAGCCATGTCAACAGAGACAGACACAGTAGGAGAGAGGTTCCAGGGGCTTCGGGGAGGGGCTGGGGGACAGGAGTTACTGCTTAATGGGCATGAGAGTGTCGGTGTGGGAGGATGGAAAGTTCTGGAGACGGATGGCGGTGATGGTTGCACAGCAGTGTGACTGCACTTAATGTCACTGAACCGTACACCTACCCATGGTTAAAATGGTACGTTTAATGCTGCATGTGTTCCACCACATTAAAAACCATTGTTCAGGTCCGCGGTGCTCTGTCTTCGTCTCTCTGGGATCACCAGCTAGAAGCCGGCGCCTGGCCGCGGGGGGTCGGCAACCCTGTGGAGGGGTCCCGGCGGGAGGAGCCCAGCGCCTGCCAGCAGCACTGGCCGGCAGGTGCGTGCCTGAGCCCCGAGAAAGCCGCCCTGCAGCCCAGGCGAGCCTTCTGCTGGAGACAGGCGTGTGGAAGAATAATGCTATTGAAGCCGCCGCGTGCTCCCGGCAAAAGGCAAGGGGCGCACAGAAGGGAGCCCGGGTCTGACGCCCTTCGTGGTGTGAACCGGCACCTTGCTTTCTGCCTCCGAGGGTGCGGGGGCTGAGCAGGGCCCCGTTCACACCTTTACAACCACAGCACGAGCTGCTGGGCAGATGCACGGCTTTCCAGCTGCCCCTGCTCTGCGGGTGACGCTCCAGGTGGGGCGAGCGCCCGCGTTCAAGGCCAGAACTCCAGGAGGGACACCGCAGCCGTCACATGGTGTGTGCCTCGCCCCCCGGCCTCCGCCCGTTAACAGGCCGGCAGGACATCTGGGGCCACAGGCTCCTGGCCGGGAGCAGTTAAAGGAAAGTATCGACAAGGCGTTGGGCCAGGAGAGAGGAGGCAGCGGGAAAGGGTTGAGAACCCTGGGCTAGAGGGACTCACACTGGCCGCGTCGGCTTCTCGAGCTCCCGTTAGAGGTGTGCCCCCACCCGATCCTAACAGGCTCAGCAGAAGCACCCTTGGGTCTTGACAAGAAGAGTCGGGAGTGGAACCCAGGGGAGAATGTCATGCATGGAAACAAGGCGTGAGCAGGGCCTTTTATCAGAGCTGAGTGTGGCCACGCCCGCGTGTGGCCTTTACCTGACGACGCACTGTGGTTGATGCTAAACAGCTTATTTCTCCACCTCAAACCAACACTTTTCCAAAAATAAAAAGTGTTTCCAGCACCCCGTTCCCACTGGGCCGGCGCAGGCTCCGCTGTGACACAGCATGGGGAGGGGGAGCGGTGCTGCCATCACTCAGCACAGCGCAGGGGTGCATGCCGGGGCCCGCGGGCCCCCCCGTAGGTACTTCCTTCTCTGCCCCGCTGCCACCCTCCGGCACGGCGCCTCCGTAACCATGGCACTGCCATTCTCACCACGGGTTTGGGTCCCAGCTGCTGATCACACAGTCACATCGACTTTGCGACTGTTTTATAAGACACAGACCAACTACTCCCTCCCACCCCCATGGTCGTGACAGGTGACTTCATAACACCAGCGTCTGCTCAGTTCTAACCCCACCCACGCCGTGCTCTTCAGTGATTCGCGCAATCGTGTCGATCGAGGTTTTGTATCCTGAACGAGGTTTTGTGTTCGGGCTGCAAGGGGCTAACGGGCAGGTTCTGCGTGTGGAGAGCGAGAAAAGTGCGCACATATGGACCCGATCGAAGGCGCTTCGGCGATTCTGGGGGACACGTGCGGAGGAGGGAGACCTGGCTCCCAGGAGCTGGGCGTCGGGGAGACTTCGGGGACACGGGGTAGAGAGGCAAACACCGCGACCCACGGTGGGCACATGGGGGGGGGGGGGGAGAGGCAGGAAACCGCGAACAGGAGCACCAGGAGGACGGGGGTGACGCTGTCACCTCGCCCTGTGAAGTTGTTTCCATTCAAAAGCTTTAAGCCCAATATTTTAAAACGAGGAATTTATCGTTTTCAATTTAGTAAAGATTTTGAGCGCATTTACCTTCAGTTGGGAATTTCTTGGCCCGTTCCTCGAAGAACCATTCTCCGGATTTTATCCTCACGTTTCTGAAAAGCAAGCAGAAGGAGCGTCGGCTGGGAAGTGGCCCCTCACAGGGAGGTGGGGGTGTCACACAGTATCAGTCTGGCCAAGGGCCTCGGGGTTCAGACGTGCAGCCCAGCCCGACTCTGCTGTTCTCCCAGAGAGCTCAGCGTGTGACCAGTGGCAGCAGGGTGGGGTCTCTGCGTGGGCGTGTTTTACCGTCTGTGTAACATGTACATGTAACACATACACCTCAACCCGTTCATGGGCCCAACGCACGGTAAGTACTTCGCGTTTTCTGAATAAATGTACAAGGGGAAACAAAATTGCCATCAAAATAATCAATTTGATCGAGTATACAGATGTTGTATTATAAAGCTGTACACCTGAAATTTACATACTAGTAATATATTGACCAACGTTGCCCCAAAATAATTTTAAAAAATCAAGGAGCCCTGGCCAGTATTGTTTGGTGGTTAGAACACTGGCCTGCACGCCGAAGGGTCACGGGGTTGCAGGTTTGATCCCTGGTCCCCCGTTGGGGTGCATGTGAGAGGCAACCAATCTATGTGTCTCTCTCACATCAATATTTCTCTCCTCCTCCATCTCCTTCCCTCCCTTCCACTCTCTCTAAAAATCAATGGGAAAAATATCCTTGGGTGAGGAAGGAAGGAAGGAAGGAAGGAAGGAAGGAAGGAAGGAAGGAAGGAAGGAAGGGAGAGAGGGATGGAGGGAAGGAGAGGAGAAGAAGGGCAGGAGGAGAGGAGAGGAGGGGAGAGGAGGGAAGCGGAGAGAAGAGGGGAGGGGAGGGGAAAAGGAGAGAATGTATCTCGTTTATGGCGGAAAGCCACAGCATGAGGATACGCTAGGAAAAGCATTCCATGCAGCCTCTTCGCTGGGAGGAAGATCATCCAGGGGTCACTTCACCTCATTTAGGGTGAACCTGAGTTACCACAACATTTACCAAGAGCTAACAGCGAAGGCCCTGCAGGCCCCGCAGTCTGGGCCGTGGGGTCACTGTGCTTTGGTGGCGGCTCGGGGGCCTGGGGGCCGGCGGAGCACCTGAGCCCGGGGCAGTGGCTCCTTGGCCAGCCGGCCTGCAGTGCTCCCTGGGCTGCAGCTCCCCGTCTCGGCCACAGGAAGCCGCACACGGGAGCTGCTCACAGGGAGCCGCTCATGTGCTCACTGCCTGGAACTCACGTCCCAAGCGTGTTTTACTCTTGACAGTTTCCAAATTTCTGGAGAAACGATCTTCGACCTCTCAGAGCCCTGGACGGGTAGAACTGTTCACATCCTCTGAGGATGTAGAGAGGCAAATGCACAGAGGTTGTAAATTGCTCACACCCTTAAAAGAATGTGCCACAAACCCCGCCAATTCCTTGCTTACGTAAGAAACATGGACGCTTCGCCTCGCAGCCAATTCCCTTTTGTAAAGCACTTACTGAAGGTATTCTCACTCGGTTCTTTTAAGCCATATATGAACACAAGTGGGTTCCTTAGGGTGAGGCTTATAAATGCTGCTACTCACGGCCTGAGACCGAGGTGAGCAGCCCTTGCGTCTCTGTCCTCGTCAGGGCCCCATGGGGAAGCTGCGTCGCAGGAACCGAAGGAGGAGTCCCTGCTCATCCCAGATGGCGGGCCAGAATGTGTCCCCGAAGCTTCTCGGAACAGTTTCTGAGCTCCGCAACGGGCTAATGCCTTTATGTTTCTTGAACAGAACCATGACTTGCTTCCTTAAAACTTCCCAAATCAATCAATAAGTACGCAAGGTTTAAGTAAGATTTGGGGTGGGGGGAGGAGGATGGAGGGGCTGGAAGACAGAGGCCAGGAGACCTGAGTTCTGTCGGGGTCTGGCCTTTCCACTAACTGCATTTGGGTCACTGTGATTATGGCCACGAGCGCCGGTGCGTAGACGCCCCTCATCAACTCCTGGGGAGCCCGGAGCTCTGCGGTCGCTGTCACTGCATGAGCCCTCGAAGCAGCTGCTGGAAAGCACACTGCTAACTCCAGCACAGACGACAACCCCACGCGGTCTGACCTCGTCACTGTCAGCCGGCCGGGGCCCGAGCAGGCCTGCCGGAGCGCGTGTATTGGCACCCCGGTCAGTCACAGCTGAAGGAGGCGACACTATCCCTAGTTCCTGCTCCAGAAACGTCAGCGTGATGACCCTGGGTGGCTCCACTCAACGGGGCAGAGGTGGGAGCTGCTCTGTGCAGTCAGGTTCCTCAAGCGGCTAACGCAGCACATTCCCGCGTGGCCTGCGCTCCCCCCAGTGCCCCATGGCAAAGCCGCCTCCATCCCCTGGCTCGTCAGACCAACAAGCTGCCAAACTCCCGGGAAGAAGTTCCCTGTGAACCTGAGATCAACCAACTGCTTTGCCAGCCTGTCCAGCGGCTGGGCGAGTCCCAGCTAACGCGGTCCAGCGCGCTTTCCGCGAAAATCGTTTCCCTTCTTGTGTCTAAGATGGCTTTTACTAACAAAGCACAAGTGAGGTTTCTGCACCAGCCCAGTCGATCTGATTTCAACGTTCTCACAGGAAAACAGACTGATCGGGGTGATTAAATCCTAGGTAACCGGGAGCGGAGTGAGGACGTCGAGATGAAGATAAAGAAACGACTTCATCAGGCTGCCACCATCACTTCGTGGAGCATTGATAACTCTCCCCCACTTGACCTCAGAGAGGTGATAGTCACAGCCCCAAGCACGATGGAGGCCCGTGGCGGGGCCAGGAAGTGCCTGTGGGTTGGGGAGTGAATGACATCCCACGTGGGCAGGGGCTCCCGGGAACCGGAGGGATCAGGTGGGGCCTGCACCGGGGGAGCCTGAGACAGCAGCCTGAGGTCTCCCGTGCATCGGCCCCCGGCAGCAGCTGGAAGTGAGGAGAGCGGGCTGGGTGTGAGGCCGCAGGGAGGGGTGGGCGCTGTGGCCAATCGGAGAACTCACGCACCGTTTCCACATGGAGATAAGTATTAGGCATTCAAGGCCAATGAAACAAGGTCTTGGGCTGTCGCAGCCTGCTGGCCATGGCGGTGTGGTTCCCGCTTTCATCCCTCATAACTCATTTCCACCACCCCTCTGTTGAATTGTCTGTCACATTCTCTCTCTCTCTTTTATTTTTTTTAAAATATATTTTATTGATTTTTTTACAGAGAGGAAGGGAGAGGGATAGAGAGTTAGAAACATCGATGATAGAGAAACATCGATAGGCTGCCTCCTGCACACTCCCCACTGGGGATGTGCCCGCAACCAAGGTACATGCCCTTGACTGGAATCGAACCTGGGACCCTTCAGTCCGCAGGCTGACGCTCTATCCGCTGAGCCAAACTAGTCAGAGCCTCTCTCTTTTTAATGCTTTTATTGATTTTAGAGAGGAAGAGAGAGGGAGAGACAGAAACATCAATGATAAGAGAGGATTATCGAGTGGCTGCCTCCTGCGCGCCCCCTACTGAGGATCGAACCCGCAACCCGGACATGTGCCCTGACTGGGACTCGAACCATGACCTCCTGGTTCATAGGTCGATGCTCAATCACTGAGCATGCTGGCTGGGCTGTCTGTCATCTCTACCGCCACCAGCCTCATCGCCTCACGCCTGGTTTTACCACCAGGACTTCCACGTGGCCTGTTACCTTATCTCCCCTCCTGAGTCCGCCTGGCCCCACAGCCAATTCTCCTGATTTTCCTCCGGCAAAGCCCTTATGCCCCCGAGCCCAACTCTCTGGGCGGCTCTGAAGGCTCTGCCCTCCCGGGGGAGCTCCCAGCAGACAGGAGAGGGCGGAGGCAAGAGGAAATGGGACGCGGGAGACCGGGTCCCAGTCTTTCTGACCTCATGGCCATGGGCCAACTATCTGGTGTCTCCAACCTCTGTGTCCTCACCTGGAAGACAGGACCACAGCAGTGGCTGCCCCAGGAGACCGCCTTTGGGTTTAAGACAGACAGTCAGCGCCAAGGACAAGGAGCGCTTCGCCCGCACTCGCAGTGGTGGGCGGTCCTTGTCACTCCCGTGTGTCTCCTCTCCCGACTGTGTCCGTCCCTCTCATCCTGGCCTCTTCCAGGAGCGCTGCAGCCAGGGCTGCCCTGCGGTCCCCTGAGGACCCCTGTCCTGAAGGTGGGGTCCTCGCTGCCCCGGACGCCCCGGCCAGGCCGGCACTCGCCTGCACTGGCTGCAGCACCTGCGAGCTGGGTTTGCTGCTGCTTCTTTGTAATTGAGGTCCCAGAGCCTCTCCTTCCTTGGTTTTAAAACGCGATGTCCCTCGTCCGGTGCCCACAGCCCCACTGGTTCTCGGGGAGCAGGACTCAGGCCGAGGAAGAAGCAGACACGGGAAACAGACGGGGCTCAAACCCGCCTCCAGGCCCCCGCTCAGTTACGAATGTCAAATGTTCTAAAGGGCTACCAGGCCTTCTCTTGGCGTGGCCATGCCCTGGCCGGGGTTGTCCAGTGGTCAGAGGGCCATCCCGTGCACCAAAGGGCTGTGGGTTTGATTCCCAGTCAGGGCTCGTACCCGGGTTGCGGGTTGTGGCAACTGATCGATGTTTCTCTCTCACATCGATGCTTCTCTTTCTCTCTTCCTCTCCCTTCCTCTCTCTCTTAATGAAAAGCATAGCCTCAGATGAGGATTAAAAAAAAGAGAGAGAGAGGACAGCAGCCCACAGTGGACCAACAGAGCAAGAGCAGAGGGTTTTGAAGAAGCAAAGAGAAGGGGGTGGGGTACAGATGTTAGAAATGAGTTAGCTCTCCCGTATGGGACCTGTGTCGGTTCACACAGGGCAATGCAATTATCTTAGGTGTTTTGAAAAACATCTTTATTTCAAAAGAAGGAAGCTGGGGTTATAGAAATCACACTTGGTGTCCTTAGAGGGCAGAGTTTCAACACCAGGGCCCGACGCTGGGGCCGAGATTTCAACACGGCCAGCGCCTGGGCAGCCGCTTGGCCCCGTCCCCCGTTTTGACTTTTTGCTTCTAGTTCACTTTTAGGAGAAAATTGCTGAGGAACGCAATGCCTTACCACGCAGTGTTTATCATTAGACCTCAAATGTCTGTGGCTGATTAAAACGGAGGAAGATCGTTAGATCTCTCGAGACATTTTTGGAATTAATTGCCACCCACCCTCCTGAGGCCCCAGGCCTGCACGAGCAAGCACAGGTGTGGCCGGCAGCACACAGAAGGGCTTGGCCCCCACGAACCCAGGAGACCTGAGATGCCTGGAGGTGGGTCTGGTAGGAGTCAGTGCTGGAGACGGAAGGTAGGACCACAGACGTCGGGTGGGACGGCTGCACTTTTCTCTGGGTGAGCGACTGAAATGCATCAGGCCTTGCGAAGGGCCTGGAAATTTAGGGAGATTCGTGCCAGGGCGCCCACTAAGCAGCCCTCCTGAGTTAGGGGAGAAGGAATCCGGCCGCTGCATTCACACTGAGCGAGCGGGCTGGCGACTGAGGAGCGAGAAGTGGTCTCAGGTCTCCAGGCCACCGCCTCCACCCCTGGGCTCAGAACAGACACACTCCTTTCCCACAAGGCCCGTGGTGGCCTGGAGCACGCTGTCCCCCAGCCACCAGAAACACACTCCCGTGGGGGTGCAAGGACCCACGACCAACCCATTCTTGCTTGGAACAGTGGGAGCCCAAGCCCAACGTGTTGTTTACCATTTTCAAAATGGATAGTTCAAAAATACCAATTCCATAATAAAAAAAATGCTTAAAACCTCACACCACCAAAAGATTAAAATACATTAGATTCAGTCTATCACGAATGGAAAGCATACCAGCTTCTTTTTTTAATCCTCACCAGAAGATATGTTTTTAGTGATGAGAGAGAGAGGAGAGGGAGAGAAACATGGATGGGTTGCCTCCTTATGAGCCCCAACTGGGGATCAAGTCTGCAACCTCGGTATGTGCCCGGACAGGGATTCGAACCCACAGCCCTTCAGTGCACGGGACAACACTCCAATGAACCGAGCCACCCGCCGGGGCAATCCAATGCACTTTGGATTATGGTGACCTCCAAGTCTCAGAAGTTCGCTCTGCAAACATTTGCCCACTGCCCTTGAGGCTCATCTCGGGCCACCGCCCAGGACTCCCCCGTCCTCACCTGCCCTCGTAGCACACGGTGCACCTCCAGAGGTGGGTCCTGCTCAGGAACACGCGGCACCTGGAGCACACGCAGTGGCTGCAGCCCTGGCACACGGCGCCCTGGTCCAGCAGCAGCCCCAGCGCCCGCCGGCAGTGGGCACACACCTTCTCCTGGTGCCCCTGGCCCGGGCTCTTCCCGCCTTTCCACCGGAGATGCTGCAGGTGCGCCTTCAGCTTCCTGTGGCCCAGAGAGTTCCATCAGACCCCACAGAGCGGGCGGCAGAGGCCAGACACCCTCCCTGCGGCCAGGGCCCCGACTGCGCCCCCACGGCAAGGGACAAGGGGCTTGCCACCCACGCCCGGGGCCCCTCCGTGGCCCATCCCGAGGCTCAGGGGGTTTCTCAGCTGTGAAACAGGGACGGGGAACCTTAGCCCAGGGCTGCTGGGAGGGTGAAGGGCAAAGCATCAGGGAGGGGCCTGGCACAGAGGAGTGAGCTGCTCATTGCTCTGGGTTTATCCTTTCGTGCCCAAAGGGCATTAAAATGACAGGCAGGAACAGAGAGGAGAGAAAAATAACATGCAGAGGATGACAATCTATGTGCAAGGCACGGAAGCTCTGTAACGCAACAGGCACGCCTGCGACTGCCATCCGTCCGCTGAGATGGCTTAACTGATGCTCTGCTCGGACACTGCCCACTCCCGGTGGCCAAGCCCCTAGGCAGCAGCCCCAGGGCAAAGGGCTACCTCGCTGGACCCCAGGACTCTCTTTCTGAAATATCCCTGTGACCTGCTTTTAGAAGAGAGAAGCCAATCCCAAGCACACGCTTACACCCCACTTTCAGGCTTTCCCCAGAATCGGCAGCCTCAGGTACCTGCCCCAGGTACATGTTCTTCACTGGTACCCAAAGCCACGCTCCTCATCAGGGGTCGCCAACCAGTGGTCCGTGAGCCCTGAAAGGCTGGCGACCGCTGGTCTAATCACGGAGAGATCTCTCACCCCGTGCTCAGCCTGCTGCATTTCTCAGCGGAAGGAAGTGTGAGTCGTAGAGAGTCTGGGGACAGCAGGTGGGGACAGACAAAGCGCACGGCACCTTCCCGGTGTCTGGGAAGTCTCCCTCCTCCCTCAGGCACGCGGTGCCCACAGGTGCACTCTGGGTGGGTGTGCTCCTTGGCAAACCCTGAGAGCCCAGCCTGGCCCACAGTTCCGCCCTTCCCTGCTCCCCTGGACCTCACGTCCCCACAGATGCGGACAGACACAGCATCGGCCTCCCGACCCACTCGAAGCGGGGCTGGACAGCTGACATGGACACTGCTCTGAAAAACCCAGTTCTGCTTCAGTGAATGTCAGCTGACGGCAAACAGCTGTGCAAAGACGCGCCCACGGGGCGGGAACAGGCCGGGCAGGTTCAGGTTCCACATCCTCCTCCTTTCCTCACAGCCAAAGTGAGAGAAAAAAGAAGAAGAAGAAGAAGAAAAGAAAGAGAAAAAGGCAGGAATGGATTCCAGCAGATTTGCTGTTTCTAAGCCACTTCCTTTGTGTGTGCCTTCAGGTGCCACGGAAAATAATTTAGGAAAACCTTTAACCAGGGGGCTTACCCCGAGGGGTGCTGGAAGCCTGTCAGCTTCCCTAGAGTTATTCCTGCAAAGTAGGCAACTGTGTCCCCAAAAAGGCACCATTAAGTGAGTAACAAAAGCAGCTTAAGTAAAG